ATGATTCACACTCATGCACACACAGTCATGGCCATCTTCCACCCCATTAACACAGACACATAGAAATTGTGTGCTGTTCACTGACTCTTAATTATTATAGAGCTGGGTGAGCTGAGGGTCAGGGAGTGTGGAAGAGAAGAAGCTGTGGGCTAAGGGATGGAATGAGCATTTCTATGAAACACTGCGTCCCCAGGGGAAATGTGGAGCTGAAAAAGACGTACTCTGGATATTTTTCTTTAGAGAGTTACCAGAAGCGATGGCTCCCCTGGCCATTCTTTGTGCATATGAAGCAATGCAAACATAGGGCAAGAAGGCATCGTGAGAGAGCACTGAAAATCACTGTCTGCCGGCTGAGGGAGGACACTGTTGCTAAGGTCTTGCTGGGTTTCTAGTTGGGTTTGAAGGAATGCTTGTTCTGACAGAAGGAGACTTTGAACACTCAGCTTCCTCTTCTTTCCACCCCTCCAGGCACAGGTTAATGACCTGGGACTCCGGGGGAAGTTGCCTTCTCCCAGGAGCCTGCCCTGAAGCTGGAAGGGGCCCTGCCGTTCCAGCTGTCTAAGCCTCCTTTCTGTCTGGCTGGCTTTGGCCTCTTAGGTTGGTAATGCCTTGCTTGAGTTGCTTGTCCAAACTGTATGTGCTGAGGGAGAAACATAACAGTGGGATCTGATTGCTTCTTTTTCTGAAGAAGAAGAGATGGGTCCTGTGTTGCTGAGGCTGTCTATTCTGTGCTGGGCCTTGCTGATTTATTTTCACAGCATGTGGGAATGTCTGGTAGGCAGAAAAACTTTGTATCTCTGTCAGTGGTAGAGTTCACAGGCTCATCTCCGTGGCTCCTGGGAATTACTAAGAGTTTGCCTAGCACCTGGCCTGGCCCTTCACTGTCCTTACCACTGGTGCCCCCGGGTCAGGGTGGCCCCCAACACTGGACACTTCCTGATGTGGCTGATCAGGACCAAACAAGTGCTTTTCTGAAAACAGTGGCAGTGTTTCCCTGGATGGGACCTGAGTCTGTCACTTCATCCAGTAAAACGAGGGAGAAGAAGCCAAAAGAAAAAAAAAATAGCAGAGGCAGTAGGAAATGATGCTGGTTCAGGCTTGTTTTCCTGGCTCGTGTGGCCTCATTCCAGCCTGTTGCCATCGGCTCTGGCCTGTCTGTGGGACACCCTGGTGCAGGAGGCCTCAGAGGAAGGGAACTTCTACGTTTCTGTTTAACTGGGCTCCTTGCCAAAGCCTGAGTTCAAAGTGCAGTTTCCAGTAATTTGCCGGGCCTTCTCTGTGGGTTCACTGGGCCAGGACAGAAGCCTGCAAGCCCAAGTAATATTTCCTAATTGCTGTCATTCCTTGGGAAGAGAAGGAAGGTGGCTGAGGCACTCGCTGGTGGCTAGGGCTGTTTCCTTGGCTCCTGTAGCCGACTGGGTCTCTCTATTTCTGGCTATCCCCAACCCTTCCTCTTCCATCCCATCCAGCCATGGGAGCCTGGCCCAGAATGAAGCTAGATTTTAAGCCTTACAGTTACCCCATTCTTAGAGCATTAAGGGCTGCATGTGTTGTCTCTTCTCTGCAACCCTCCCCTTGCCATGCCGCTTCCCTGCTGACTCTCAGAACATCACAGTAATTGGGAGTAGACCTTTGTTGAGCAAAGGGGAGGGTAATCATGGAGCCTTACATCAGAGACCTGTCTGGTAGCACAATGGCCTTTCTATCAGGCAGAGACACTCAGGGACAGTGTTTTAATAAATTGTCTTTTCTTTGGTTATGGATGAGTCACCTTTGACACTAGAAGGACCTGGCTCAAAGTTGTCTCCTGCCATTGAGCAAGGAGAATCTTAGGCCTCAGAGCTCCTCAGACCTGTCAGCTACAGAGGGCAGTGGCCTTTTAAGACAGTTACCCTACCTCAGATAATCCCAAGGCCACTGCAACAAACCCTGGAGCACACAGGGAGTATGGGACAGTTCCAGCCCACAGTATGTTCCCTGCCCTGTTCCTACAACATGCCTTTTTTCCCCCCTTTGCTACCCCTCCTCACAGACTGGCTCTCCATGGTGCCTTTCCTCCAACCTGGAAACCTAGGTTTAGCAGTTTAACATTAAAACTCCTGTAGCAGTTGGGGTTGCTGGTGGTGACTGGGGGAATGCCCCTTATAGAGGAATTTGTATCTGCCTAAGAAACACCATGCTGTTGTAAAATAATGTTTAAACATTTCTATTGGACAGTCAGTGCCCTCTGAAACCATCTGAATGGGTGTCTGTACAATGACAAAATAGCTCATTAAAGCTTAAAAAATACTTTTGGTTCTATAGTTCTTATTAAGCAATTAATCGGCTTGTATAACTTTACTCTTCTTTACTAAGTTGATTTTTTAAAAACAGTTTGCATTAACTGGGCAATGGTAGTGTACACCTTTAATCTCAGCACTTGGGAGACAGAGACAGGTGGATCTCTGTGAGTTTGAGGCCAGCCTGCTGTACAAAGTGAGTTCCAGGACAGGGTACATAGAGAAACTCTGTCTTGAAAATCCAAAAAGAACAAACTTACATAAGTGAATTGATTATAATTGTTCTTATAATGTCTTTTGAACCCATGAAGAGTCTCAAATAACTCTGTAGTCTTTAGTTATATTTAAAACAAAAACAAAAAACAAAACACCAGAACTTGTGACTAGTTGTTTTTTTAAAAAAAAAAAAATCCCAGGTGCCTTGCCTTGCTGTAGGCAAATCTTGGGGATGATGAGAGGAGATGTGTTTTTAACTTCTGCATAGAGCTGGGTGAATGGCTGGGTTGATAAAGTGTGTGCCAGATGAGCATGAGGGCCTGAGTTTGCATTCCCAGCACTCAGGTAAAAGGTGGGGTACCTACAGGCACACGAACAAACACACACTTCTCCCTCTCTTAAATGTGAGTACATATTATGATGAAATGAAACCAATTTTAGACTCTCGGACGAAGTTGCTCATCACAGGTCGGATCTCTTTGCGCATGGTTCCTCTCGCATAGCTGGCCAGCTGCTGCACAGCCCTTTGGAAGAGAACCAGGCGTCTTGAGGAGATGCGTGCCGCCTCTGTGTTCCTGTTGGTGGCTGCGGTTGGTTGTCCGGTTAGCTGGAGGTAGAGCTTTCCGGAAATAGCACCAACAGCTTCGTTTGCTTCCGAGGCATCTAATAAGCCAGGACAGTTTTCAATCGCCGTGAGGCCAGAGGTCCTGAGGTTTCAATTGGACAAAGTGCTATGCTGAGTGAACTGCCCCTCCCCCACGACACCTCAGGAGAGTCTGTTCCCCACACATCCTCCCTCACTGAGCTGTGAAACTCCAGTGAAGAGACCAACATTTGGTTCCTTTGTGAACCCCGCCCCCCCTCCAAAAGTCACCCAAATGGGTGGTGGGAATGACACCTGAAAAGCTCAGGAAGATCTAAGATCTGAGGAAAAAGTATTTTCATGTTTATACAAACTTTAATATCGTATTTAAAACTTCACTAATGTATTAAAAGGACTGAGGGGGTCAGTCGGCTTTTAAAACAAACGGACCTTCAAACATTTTAAACATTCGGCGGCGGATGTTTTCTGCTGCAGCGAAGTTGGAGGGTTTGGATGGCAGAGGGACTTCTGGGGTCCCACGATCAGCTTTTGCTGTTATGTTTGGGTATCTGGGAAACACTTAAAACAGACTGTGACAACCCATTCTCCCTCCCTGGTTAGTATAAGGTTCACTAGTCACAGTTCCACAGTCCTGAAAGGTCCACCATTAAGAGAGTGAGGTAAGCCGTGAGCTCCCTGTCCTCTCCACACTGAGGAAGGCAGCCACTTAAAGGACTGGGTGAGCCTTTCAGAACATCACAGGAAGGGAAAGTGATGAAAGACCTGTGTTCAGTGTGCTCCAGGCTCTGAGTTCCATCCCCAGGGTGCTTGTGTGTGCCCTTGTGCACATCCATGCCCTCACACAAGGAAGGGATTTGGGATGATTATTCACATTTCAGAATGTGAAAATGTGAATAATCACAGGAGTGGCAGTGGGGCCCTGTGCAGGTCACGCTTCCCCTGGGAGGCGTGAACCCAATTATAAATATTCACCTGAGGTATTTCTGCAAAATCAGTATTGATTCTACTTTAATTTAAAAAGAAAATAAATTTTATTTGTTTTTTGGTTTGTGTGTATGGGTGTTTGCCTGCATGTATGTGGGTGCACTGTGTGTGTTGTCCCGGATGTCAGAAGAGGGCAACTGATCCCCTGGAACCATCCTTACACACAGTTGTTAGCTGCTGTGTGGAGGCAGGAGATTGAACCTCGGCAAGAGCTGACAAGTGCCCTGAACCGCTGAGCCATCTCTTCAGCTTCCGAATTCTACTTTTTATCTCATCGCTTCCTCTTCATTTTCTTTGTTTTGTGTTTGTTTTTCTTCCAGCTCAACAGGGTCTGGAAGCCACCCGGACAACAGAATGGAAAGCAAGGAACTGAAACCTAAGGGTTGCTTTTCACATCATGAGAGCCCCACAGCACCGCTGGCATGAAGTACCCCGACACCAAGCTCAGAAACACTGAGTCACAGCTCTAGTTCATGTGCTCTGAGAGAGGGCGATTTATCGGGCAGTCTGTACCGCTCTCAGGGCAGAGCTCTGGACTCCTCTGCCGCCTCCACCCAGCAGGGATTCGGTCGTCTCCTTAAGTGTGACCTCACAGTTTCATTTAAAAGGAGCTTTCCTAATATGTTGAAAAAAAAAGTACAGTGGAATCATGGCATGACCCTGTTGTGTAAAGTGAGATCCCTGGTCCCGTTTCCCTGTGGCTGCGGGTTCTGGGTTGGAGGGCCAAGCGGTACAGAGCACAGGTCCTCCAGCAAAGCCGCTTCTTTCATGAAGACCGCTGCCTTTTTCTTTATTTCCAAAGTGGCCCTTAGATAACTTAGCCTAAAAGCTACACATCTGGACTGTTATTTAAAACTTCCAACTCTGTTTTGTCTCTCCCCCATTACCCCAAATGCCTTGGCTTTTTTTTTTGTGTGTGTGTGTGTGTGTGTGTGTGTGTGTGTGTGTGTCATCCTTGCACAGGGGCCATGCTAATCTTCTCTGTATCGTTCCAATTTTAGTATATGTGCTGCTGAAGCGAGCACCTGCTTTGGCTTTTTTATGTGGGTTCCTGGGATCCGACTCAAGTTGTCAGGATTGAGTGTTGAACACTTTTACCTGCTGCTGAGCCATCTGGCCGGCCCTCCTTTGGTTTTTTTTTTTTTTCTTTAAATGTTTAATACCTGGATTACTAACTGTGGGTAGAAACAGCAAGTTCTTACAGTGTCTGTGTTAACATTCCGAACATACCCCCTTTCTTCCAAGATCATCATATCCATTATTATTAAAAAAAAAAAAAAAATAACCCAACTTTTAAAACTTGAATGACTTTTCCAAGCCAGCGCTCTAATCTCAGATATAAATCTTCCTCCGTCAAGAAAAGGACATACTCCAGGCAGTATGTCGGAAGAATCTAAACTCAAGTGAGACAAAAAACTGGAAAGGTTAGGCATGGGATTATTTCCCCAGCTTTTGCTTAGGAAACAGGTTAAATGAAAACCTGCTTTCCTGGCCCCGTCTCGTGTGCAGATGTGTAAAGTGAGGGTGGTTCCAGCAGAGGATGCCACCCTTCCTCAACAGTTCTGTAGGCATGCTGCGGGCAGGCGTGTCTGTACGCTGGCCTCCTTCTAGCCTGGCGTCAGGGTCTGATTGTTAGGTTCCTACTGGCACACCCTGCCCTCTACCTAGGGGCAGGGGGCCCCTCCTCTCCCAGAGACCCTTCACTACATAGTCCAGACATTTTGATTCCTCCTGCCCTTTTGCCCTTGGCTTTCCCTCTCTCCCTCCGACCTTCCTCTCCCCCACCCCCTCTCCTCTCTGTCTTTTTTCTGTCTCTCCCTGCTCTCTCCCTCCTCCTCCCAATAAATCTGCATTTACATAACATAGCTACAGCTCTCCACTAGCTCTTTCCGTTTGAATCAATCACTGAGGACTGGCAAGAACCAGTGAGATGAGCTCTCCCTTTGTCTTTGGTTGTGTTGTAAGAATAGAAGACTGGTTTGTTCCGGAGTATATATAAGTGACTAATGCCTGCGAACATACGTTTCTCTCTCCCCCAGATGCAATGTTCCAACCTGGAAGCAGTTTCATGAAGCTTTATACTTTTACAGAACAGATTCAGTCATACATCAGGATAAGTTTAAAATACATTGGTAAGCATGTCAGAGAGGTGGTTACAGCAAGATGGAAGATGATATTTTATTTGATGATATTCTTAGCTTTTGGATTGGTGGAAACCAGGGGTCTGTTATACATCCCAAGACAATTTTGTCTATTAGTTACAGGATGTTAGTTCTGAAACAGAGGTGGGTGAAGAATTCAGGGGCTAAAGCTAGTACAGGATAAGGTAATTAGCCTTTGGACCTGCGACATTCCTGTCTCTCCACGGTACTGCAGCTCTGGCCCCACACTCAGTCTCCACAGACACAGCTTCTTTCCAGGAATTCGTGTTCGCAGGTGGCTTGGAGTGATTCTGTGATGTATTGTAAATACACAACTTGCCTTGTGTGTTTTTATGAGTTCTCTAAATACTGAGCATTATCAAGAACTTGTGACAGCCACACAGGACTAACACGGAGAAGATGTGGGATGGTTACATCCGAGAAGCTATGGATGGTAGGTTTGGGTGGTATTCGTTTGTTTTTATTTTTTTAACATTTATGTATGTATTGTGGGTATGTATGCGTACTACAGTGTATGTGTGGAAATGTGCATGTCAGTGGGAAATTTGGGGGAGTCTGTTCTCTTCCCCCTACCATGTGGGTCTCAGGACTGAACCTGGGTCATGGGTCTTGGGAGCAAGTGCTTTTGCTCACTGATCCACTTTCTGACCTGCTGATCCATCTTCTGACCCACTGAGCCACCTCCTGGCCGTGGTTGTATTCTTTTGCCCGATGCTCCTGACAATCCTTTAGCTTCTCAGAGGTTGCTGTGATTTTTCGTGCTAGCAGCCTCTTTACTTAGACACACTTACTTTCCTCAGTTTCTTCTGTAAGCTCAGTTTTGTTCAACTTCCAATTTTCTTCAGCGGGTGTCAGGATCAAACCCAGGGCTTCACTCAGCTAGGTTCAAGTCTGCAGCCCTCTTTTTAAAATGTTCACTTTCAGCCAGAGGTGTTGGTGCAGGCTTTTAATCCCAGCACCTGGCTGTCAGAGGCAGGCAGAGCTCTGTGAGTTCAAGGACAGCCTTGTCTATGTAGTGAGTCCCAGGACAGGCTGAGCTACATAGTGATACCCTGGCTCGAAACAAAACAAGACAAAAGAAAACAAAAAAAACCCACCAACACCAAAACATTAACATGTATTGAGGTTCGGCGACTCATGTCTGTAATCTCAGCACTCTGAAGGCTGAAGCAAGTTTTAGCCATACATGCCCTGTTTATGGTCAAGCATCTCACTGCCGTTTATTTTCTGTGCTTTGGTCAGTGTCTGAACATCAGCTGCTTCACAAAGAAACGTGGGGATGCCTGAGCACCACACTCATTTATACTGTGGAGATACAGATTGAGGAGGCAGCTCGGTACAATATCCATTCAGTGAAGTAGTAGTCAGTTTACCTGCGTGCCCTGTGAGTTGCCAAACCATTCCCAACTCTGTTCTTAGCTAGATTTTCTACGGAGCAGACCTTAAATCCAATCAGAAAGTGGTTGGCTATCCCCGCAACATTTGTGCCACCAGTGGGCATATCTTGCCACGTTGATGATGATGATAGTTCAGAGGGCTCCCCGATGGATAAAACGATTGGTGACGCCTCCCTTCCCACCCAGCATTCTACATAGTTCCTTCCCGTACGGTAAGAGCTAGTCAACAGGGAGGAGGAAGCTTCTAGTCAGTACTGACTTGATTTCTCCATGATCTGTGGCCAAAGCACCGTATCTTCAAGCGATAGGGTCTTACCGTCAAGTTCTGGTGGACCCTTTGGCAATGGCTTGTATTGTTTCGGGGGAGGGCTGTCTCAGGGTCACCCCTCACCAGTAGTTTGAGGGAAGCTATCCCATTCTTGGCACTGGCACCAACTGGCCTTTTAGTTGTGGGTTCTAGAGCTTGGACTTGAGACCGTGTGATTGCAGGACAAATGCACCCCTGACTGAATTGACACCTCAGCTCTCACCCCTGCGCTGCCTCACATCTGCAGTGAATACCCTGGGGAAAGGTGTTCAGGTTTGTGAAATGAGGTGTTCGTCTGTGAAATGAGGACAGCAGTGAAGTGAAATTTTTAACGCTTTGGTGGGACTTCAGTGAAACAGTGTGCAGTTAGCAAGCATATCTGGCGACCCGCCTGTACACAGCGGGTCGGCATGCAGTGAACACCAGTTGTTGTTTTGTGACACAGTGACAAGAATGACCTAAACATTACTGAGCCTGGAGGTGTTCCCTCCATAGACACTTTGCTTCAGGGCAAAGTGTATACAGCACATGTAATCACATGTGTTACTTTTATAAATCCAAATCTACTAATAACAAATATATATATATATATATATATATATATATATATATATATATATATATATGGGATTAAATCTAGCATTTCATGGATGGTAGTAAAGTACTCTATCCCTGGGCTACATCTGTAATTATATTTATATTTTCTTGGATGTAGGAGAGCTAGACTGAGGGGTAGGAAAATGGAAAAGAGGAAGCTGAAAAATGGAATGACCCAATCATATAGTTATGTTATCAATGTGTTACTGGTACTATGATAAAAGTAACATGTGAGGCACGTATGCAAACACCATAAGTACTCAATGGAGTCTTAAAATATTAATGGGCTTGTCTCAGAGGCGCTAGGATTCCCAGTGGACTTCCTTCCTCACGTGTTGGTTTATATTGAATTTTTTACAATAAGCACAAATTATTTATGCAGTGAGGGAAAAAAAAACAGCCAAATCTTTTTACTGTTGGGAAAGAATAAAGCAGCAGTTCATTTCCATGGCTCTCTCCAAGGGGAAGAAAGGGGCCTTTGCAGTTGGCAGAGTCACTGGGAGGAAACACCAGGGCATGAGGTCTGAGCAGAAGGCGATTTGTGCTGTGTGCATCCCATGCCTGCCACCTCAGTCTTCTGTGGGAGTGTGGACCAGGGCAATAGAAACACAGGTTAACACATCCTCAGATTTCTGGAAACAGATAAAAGTGAGTTATAGATACTCATATTTACGCACGACTCAGCCAACAATGGTTGCAAGGGCTCCAGATCTAAGGACTTTGTAAAATACCGTGAATGATAGTTTTGATTATAAACTTCTGATCCCAGCCAGTTGCAGTGCTAGCTCCAGGGGGACCCACCCCAGGACCCACCCCCCCTCCTCTGGACTCTACACTCACATGCATGAACCTTCACACAGATACAGGTGTATATACATAATTGAAAATAAGTCTAAAATAGTTGTTATTATTCTCTCATATATTACATCCTAATCATAGTTTTCTCTCTCTTCCCTTCCCTAGTCTCTCCCCACTATGTACCCACTCCCCGAGATCCATCTCACCCCAACCTTTCCTCAAAACAGAACAGGCCTCCCAGTGACATCAACCAAACTCTGCATACAAAGCTGAAATAAGACAGGGCACATCCTATCATATAAGGCTGCATGAGGCAACCCAATAGGAGGAGGGTCCACAAGTAGGTGAAAGAGACAGGGATAGCCCTTTCCACTCCCACTGTCAGGATTCCTGCAAGAACACCAAACTACTCAGCCATAATTTATGGCAGAGGACCTAGGTCAGACCCCTGCAGGCTCCCTGATCTCTGCAAGCCCCGTGAGTCCTGGTCAGTTGATTCTGTGGGCTATGTTCTTGTGGTGTTCCTGACCCTTCTGCTCCCTCCAAGCCTTCCTCCCCCTCCTCCCCATCACTCCTCGAACTCCTCCTAAGGTTTGGCTGTGGGACTCTGCATTTGCTCTCATCAGTTGCTGGATGAGGTCTCTCTGATGAGTATGTTTGGCTGTGGCCTCAGAACACTCTGCAGGCAGGACAAACTGTAGGTTAAATGTTTTGTGGCTGGGTTGGTGTCCCAGTCTGTCCACTTGAGGCCTTGCTTGGTTACA